GCGGCTTAACAAAAAGCGAAAAGTTCTGGCTCCCAAATCCATCGCGAAACAAGTCAAAAAGGTAGTGTCGAGAGCGCGTGCGACGATTTCGAAGTCAGCGAACTCGGGAAAGAAGAGTACAGTGAAAGTGCAGACCAAGGTCTCCAAGACGACGGTCAAGAAGCCCGAGAGCTCAAGATCCAAAAGCCAGGCGAAAGCTAAGGAAACCAAGCCCAAAAGTAGCGTCAGACTTCCCAAGGTCAAAACCGCCAAAACGAAAGTGAAGGCGGCAGTTCTTCCCAAGAAGAAGTCACTTAAAATAATAGGGAAGTCGCCGTCGAAGCCGAAGGTTTCTCCTGCGTCTTCCTCGCCGTTGAGTCGTCCATCTGGGAAAGCAAAGGAGAAGATACTCAAGGCAGCCAAAGGCGCGAATGCTCGGAAACAGGCGACGAAGGGGAAGACAGCTAGTACGAAATCGCCTTGCAAGGACCCCACAAGCAACAGCATTAAAAAGCGCCCTGGGGCTACGGCATCGACTAAACGGACAAAGGGCGCAAGCACGGAGATCCTCCATTCGACTTAAGTAATAAAGAACAGACAACCCAATCTGGCGCTAGCAGTCAGACATTGCAACAGTGTTTCAGATCGGCTGTTTATTCAATCATGGTTGTCCATTAGCTTCTCCTGAAGCGGTCGTGCTTTCGCTTCCTCGCTTTTATTTCTTGAATCTGCTTACGCTGCAGGCAAAATTCTCTTCAGCCCGTGGATCGGTCGTGATTTTGGTAATTCCTTGGTTGTCACATGGATGTTTCTCCGGTTTTTTTCTCTGCGCTGACTGTTATTCCCCTGTTCCACTGTTTGATCTATATGATGGGCGTCAGGTGTATCCCATATTGTCTCGACTGGTTGTTCTTGCTCGGGTGCAGACTTGGTGTTTGGATTCAAATGGTCTCAAGGAATGAAGAATACTTAAGTTTCTGGATTTTATAGCTAATATATTGATTTAAACTGAAGACTGCATGGGGCTGTGCATATAGCACCTACAATAGATGCGACTCAATCTCACCCATATAGTCGGAGTATGCTGCCGCTGTCCGCCTCAGATATGCGACTTGTGCTTTATCTCAAAGTCTTCTGGAATTCATCGTTTGTCGCATTTTGCACTACATGTGTCTCGAAAGAGCTTCGGTAAACATTCTGGGGAGAAGCAGGATAGACCCACTAGGCGGGATCAACATCAACAGTATATGTAACGACGCGTGAAGCCATGGAAACACAGTGATCCTTCCTAATCTACAGCGTTTTCACAGAGAAATCCCGCAGAGGTATATTCCGTACAGACCAAATTGTCTCCAACATGAGATATTTACTACCGAAGATGGAATCACCTAAAGAGTTTGTAGAGAACAGAGAGCACAACGCCTTACCCCTAACCCACACCTGAAATACACCCATGCAGAGATTGAAAACATAATCTGATCGCTTTCACCAGAGATTCTAAGCCGCGCTAGCTTCAGGGGCCGACGGTGCAGGTGCCTCCTCTCCGCCCTCCTTGACTTCAGGTTCTACTTTTTCCTGGTCGACAGTAGGAAGGGGAGCAGCGTCGTTGTCCGACGGAGCAGCATCGCTCGGTTGCGTCGATGGCTCGGTAACTTCAGGCGCACTTGGTGCAGGAGCCGAAGAAGGAACCTCTGGGGTTTGAGATTCATCGGGCGGAGCGGGTTGTGGTTCTTGAACGTCTGTCACGGGAGCTTGATTCTGGGGTTGCTCTTGAGAGGATTCCTCAATTTGCTCGAATTCTGGACTTGGAGGGGTGAGGGGCTCTGTTGGTGGTGCCATGTGTTCCGGCGAGGGGTGTGTGGGTTGCGGTGGTGTCTGCTCTGTGGTTGAAGGGGGAAGCGGCTCAGTTGGTTGAGTCGATTGCTCCGGCGAAGCTTGCGCCAGTTTTTCTGCGTGCGGCTCAGGGGATGGAACGGGAGGTTGTTGGTCTGTATGCGGCGCAGTTGGTTGATCTGAAGGGGCTTCAGCAGAGGGTTCTGTGGAAGGCACCATGCTAGAATCCGTTGCAGGCTCGATCACTTGTGGTGCGGCGGTTTCCGAAGCCTGGTTCTCTGCGGGTTGAGCAACAGGCACTGCATCTACAGCTGACGGTGCTTCAGGAACTTCTTCGGGAGGCTGTTCCACAGGTGCTTCTTGATTAAGCCCTTCTATGGCATCATTTATCGCAGTTTCCGCGGTAAGTTCTGTCATCTCCTGCTCAGGTTGCTCTGGAATAGTCATAGTGCTGCGTTCTAAAGATGGTTCGGTGGGCTGTTCAATTGTCTTTTGCTCTGCATCAGCAGGAGCAGGTTCGATAACCTGCTCTGGGATCTCTTTTGCAGGTTGCTCTTCAATGTGTTCCGATGGCTGTTGTTGAGGCTCATTTGTGACTGTTTCGCCAACTTCCCTTGCGGCATTTGTCGCAGTGCTCTCAGCAGCCATAACTCCCGCTTGTGGAGCAGTTTGGAATGGGGCTGATCCGTCAGTCTGCGCATCGCGGACGGCACCACCCAGACTAGCTTCCAAGCTACCAAGAAGATCAACCTCGTTGCTGCCTGTCTCAGTATCGGCCGGTTGAGGTTCAACTGCAGAATTGGGAGCTTGCTCAGCCACAGTTTCTTTCAGCGGGATCGGCTCAGTCGTAGGAGCTGATGCAACGGCTTCAGAGTCCTCCATTACTACATCACCCGTCTCGGCTACCTCCTGAATCATTGCTTCATTTGGAGTAGCCTGACTTGGCTCCACCGACTTCTCTGTGATCTCTGTCTGAACTTCTGTCCGATGCGCGCCCTCGACAGGTGGAGACGGGCCCGGCCCTGAAGTTTGAGGCACTTCCTGAAGCGGTTGGGAAACTGGACTTTCGTGAGCGGGCTCAGTGACCTCCTGAGCATCCGAAGACAGGCGTTCTGAACCTTGCCGAGGTACAGTCGCTGGACTATCATCTGCAAGAGAGACTGGAGGTTGCGCATCGGACATAACAACATCTTCGGTCACGACTGCCTGTGTCGGCTCTTCGGACACAGCTGTAGCTTCAGGTTGAATCGAAGGGGCAGGAGCAGACACCTCAGCGGACGGTGACGCTGGGGCTTGAGGACTAGGGGGTTTGGCAGAGGGCGCCGATGGCTGCACATGCGTATGTGTAGATGGTTCCTCGGCCAAGGTTGATGGGCCCTCTGGCGCAACTGATTGAGATTCATCGTTTTCCTCCTTGATAGCTGCCAAAGGTTCTTGAGCAGCTTCAGCGTCAGATACTGACGGCGCATCAGCAGCTGGTGCAGACTCAAGCTGTGCGAGTGGGGTTTCTGGTGTCTTGGCGTCCAACATCGACTCGTCGCCCTCATCACTCTCTTCGCCCTCGTCACCCTCCTCCTCTTCATCATCCTGGCCGCTTTGGTCCACTGACAAGCGGGACGCGTCCGGACCCGGTTTAGCAAACCCGGCATCAGTGGCGCCATCTGTCGTACTGGCGCCAGAACCATGGACAAGCGCAGCATCAGCCCCATCTCCTGGCGCGAACATGACCTTCTTCCTGCGGCCCTTCCCGAATCCCTTGGCCTTGCGCTTGGGAGGAGGTGGGCGTCTTTTCGGGGGCGTCATGACAGAGACGGAGCCTGCTTCTGCAACAACCACACCCTCAGCGTTGACCACACCAACGCCTTCGACAACCGTCCCAGGTGCAGGCGCCTCCGGAATAACAGCGACCTCCTTGTTTTCGGCTCTCACTTGAGCTTCATCGGTGATTTCGCCTTCAATTTTGTGTCCCTCCGGCACCCACGCTTCGTAGATGGAAATGTTACCGGTAACCGGATCGACCTTCTTGAAACGAGTCCTCCTCATCGGAACATTGTTCGCGGCACCATCCACACCCGTAGTCGAAGCGCCGTACAGAGATGGTAAGCCCGGTCGTCTCTTGGCTAGAAATTCCACCTCCGGTGGCTCCAGATGTCTAGGCAGCGCTGCCCACTTGCGCGCAGTAAAGCTGCGGTCCGTGCTCTGTATCATCGGTTGTTCCTCAACGTCGGTAGCTTCTTTCTCTTCATCCTCTGGCTCCTTTTGCGCTTTGCGAATGTAGATACAACCGGCTCGAGCGGCGCGAAGAAGCGCTCGGCTCATAGGCGTCAGGAGATGACTGTCCCTAGGCATGGGGTGCTCGGGTAGGGCCTGTTTGCCCCCGGGGCCTTGAATGAGCGACTCCGATATTTCTGTCTTGGGAACTTGGGAGATTGTTTGGCGCTGGCGCGTCCATCTCCGCACCGGGAGTCCTTCGAAAACATCGTGGTCGATTTGGCCGGTTCGGGTTCGATTAGCGTTCTCGCCGAATTGACGACCTGAGCGCGAGGATCTGAACTGATGTTTGTCAGCATGCAGATGAACGATAGAATTATCGCCAGTGCCTGGGAGCGAGATCTCTCCTTGCGGGCGACGTTGCGCTAGGAGACACCTACAGTCGGTGGCATGGTGAGTGGCTGGCCGGCAGTCTTTCCTCCGCCAAGTAGATGCTAAGGCGAGTGCTTGCAGATTCCAATACGTCTAACACTATTAACTGAGATGCCAATGTAAAAAAAAAAAAGAAAAATAAAAAATCGAGCAATGGTGCTGTCTGCCGTCCATACAGACTGGGATGCGACTGGCAGTGTCCAGCGCGATGCGATGGCGCGGAAACGGGAGTTACTGGGCATTAAGTCACGTGATTTTATCAACTATTACAAGGGCTATGGCATAAAACCCGACAAGAAATGATACTTGGACTTCTCAAGTAATCGATTATGGACATTTAAGCTGATGCAAGAGAAGTGTGCGTCTTTCTGATAGTTATAAGTAACCAGTGCAACATACAGCGCAGTCGAATTCGTTAAAAGCACAGTCACCCCGGTTTATCCAATAACTTGACGGCTGGCCAGGCCAAACTGATGTCGAGCTTGGTGTTCGTTCGGGATCAAAACTGAAACCTAAGAATCTCCTTGTTCATAAGATTCGATTGATCAATCCCACCTGCAATCACTGTCAGCTAAGTTGGCGAAGGAAGCGAAATCCCAGAGCCTCATACCCGGTATCCTTCTGGCGGACGATACCGCCCTCTTGTCCAGTCTGCTCGCCCTGCACAGAATAGTTAGGCGGATCTTGAAACGAGCAAGGCGCATTCGAGTGAGTACTCACAGTCTTCTGTCCTTCCACTACTAATTTGTCCAGCTGATAGAATTGACTAATCACAGTTTGTCGCTGGATTAGAAATCAGTAACCTGTGCTTCCATCAAACGTAGTATGTAGATGTCTTGGGCGTGGAATAGACTCATCTAGACATCGGCATATACAACTCAAGACTGACCTTCAACATGCGCAAACTTTGCAGACCATCCTGAACCAACTCCTGTATCCTCCTTTCCTCGGTTTCATGCTGGTGCTCACGGAAGGCATCTCTCGTTCTCCGACGGGCATACTCACGAAAGTTGTAGTTCGAAAATTGGGAAGATTGACGGAGCAAAGACCGAAACTGTACGATTGTATCACAACGTTAGTCTTCTGATCCACGTAGCTTGGTCGCCCGGAGAGGATGAAAGGCATACCAATGACCGGACCTGAAACGCGGTGTCCCGCTGCAAGTTCGCCACAGACATGATGGCAGATTCTATAAGATGGGAGTGGAGATGTGAAGCAAAGTGCTTAGAATGGACTGGCAAGCGACAAAAGTGAAGCGTGTCCGACAATAATCACTAATCTGATGTTGCTGTATCCGAATGAGGTCTGTGCCTTCTCTTCGACTCTTCGCCCCTCACGGCTTTCACTTCAGACAATAGATGAGCCGTTACAGCGATGACAGATGACCGGAATGTCCTTTTCAGAGCGATCCTAGTCAGAAGATAGTATGCTTTTCACAGAATCACCAGCACAGTATCTTGCATCACAACTTCAACTGCAGGTGGCGGTTATGAGGCCGGAGAGTCGGACAAGCTGGAGGGACGTCCGAGCTCGAATCACGGAATAGTAAATTATCAAGATAGTACAGAAGATTCACAGTCTCTCGCGGATAGACAGCAGAAGGGAAGACGAAGGAGGCAGTATCCGACTATCCACCTTAATCGCGCAGGGCGGGAAATTCTTTTGCTTTTCCCCGGAAGCGCGATGACGGAGTTATCGGGCTCGGCGGCCGAGCTGTATGTGCTTCTCCAGATATTCCCCATTCGCCGACCTGCACTATACCGGGCGTTGAGCAGCTGTTGCAATTGTCATATCTTGTGTGTCACAATCTCATCTAGCAACATTAATTAACTTTTCTACGCTTCATTAACGTTGTGACTTGTCAATGGCCGAACTCCCTACTCCCCCAGCGTCCCGGCAGAGCTCTGAATCACCAGAGCTTCAGCTCAAGCAGTCTTACGAGGCCGAGTCCTCTGCCAAAACCTTAGAACTGCTGGACCATTCTCTGGAAAGATATCTTCTACTCCTGGATCAGCACCAGAAACTGCAGGCAGATCTCGCCAAAAAATTATCTTCGGTATATTTCGCTATTTGTCGTGTGCAATCCTTTCCACCTGGGTGGAGAAGCTGACGATAAGAAAGGGATTCTTCTCCCTTGCGCATGCAAATTATACGTGTCCGCCCGGTAGACGATATGGCGCTGATTATTATGACGAGCGTATGAAGGCGATTAGGAGAATGTAAGTTGAAGACTGTCATTGGGAGCCGTCTCGGGTTCAGAAACCCGCAAATCTATGATTACGAGGACTAACCGAGCGCTTCATAATCAGGGCAATACGACCTCCTCCATGCGTTGAAGAAGAAAAGACCATGGATGGGGCTGAGGATGCCCCGCAGGGAGAGTGTCCACCGGACGAGTACAGGCAGATTTTCGCGATCGATGGGACTACGAACAATCAGCAAGTCGAGGAGCCAGAAACGGGCGAAGACAAGGAAGAGGCCGACTCGGAAGTCGACAATACACATCAAGTTAATACGAGTGCAACTTCAGACCCCGACTCCGCAACGTCAGAATCCAACTCCTCAAAAGAGCGGTCTCGATTTTCTGACCCTATCCATTGGTACGGGATCTTGGTTTCACCTTCTCTTCGCAGCGCTCAGAAGTCATTCACGGAAGCTGTAGAGCAACATTTGCCCAAGCTGGCCAGTGTGGTTGTGGAGATGCAGACTGTGGAGAGAGAGATCGAGCGACTGCGAAGTCGACTACGATGAGCTCTCCCAACCGGAAATTGAGTACATGATACAAGGCATGAGTTCAACGTTGCGCTTCACCAGACGATCCTGATTTGTGACATGCGGTATGGAGTGCGCTTCATCGAACAAGGGTACGCGGATAGTGGGCCATAACTCAGAGTCGAGTGCGGCCGTTACTTTGGCCCCAGCATGATCAATATTGGCTTTACAACAGATAGGCCATGATGCTTCCCGGCTGAGAAAGGATGGCGTATGGCCAAGTAGGCTGTTCTTTGGCCGGAGGAGAGACGATGGTCATTTGAAACCGCTCAACAGGGTTGTGCATTAACTCCATACATCTAGTCCCGAAATTCTCTGCCATATGGGCCCTCATGCATGTGTGCATTAGCCTATATGTGCCAGAGTCGCAGAAGAATGGGCTTCGTTATGCACACCCTTCAATAAAATCAGCAGAGTTTCCGGGGTCACTTTCTCAGAACATGTAGAAACCCGAACAAGCTGCAACTTGAGCTTCCTTTACGCCCTGATAGTACTATTGTAGGATGTGAATCCAACGAACTTCATAGCTAGAATGCAGATATCAAACACCCCAGATAGTAGAGGACCATATGCAGCAGCTGTTGGTACAGTATGGCGTCACATGACGGATTTCGAGTTGTTTGCTTCTCGTCGACTTGCAGCTGTCATCATGATTTGGTCTCTTGCCTGGCTTCCTGCTCTACATGATTGCCGGAGTATCCCTTCCGTGACTTTGTCTATTATTATCACTTCGGTTGATTGATATTTTACTACTAGTATCTTAGCTCGTCAATAACGGTCGATTTATCCGCATGTTAGTTGGCGACCGTTGGCGTTACTCTCGGGCTTGCATCCCCGAAATAGCCCAGTGCAAGCAATAGTCTTGAACCGTCAATGGGTTCAGTACCAGGGGTAAAACGTCCTTTCATTTCTCCGAGTCATATTTGACCCCAGCAGATTTTTTGATCAGCAACGACGCATAATTGCATACCACGGAGCTTATCTTATGAACAGAACTGACGATGAGCTGCCTAGCCGATAGATAATAATCCCTACCGTCGGCACGCATAGTCTCAGGACCCCAGCTAAAAATGTTGGAGCTGACTGGATACACACGGGAAGCACGGTTTCATGTTGAAAAGTGCCGCTCGCAAAGGTGTACCCCGATTGCTTAGGGTGAGACATAGCGTCGAATACACATCCACTTAGTGCCTCTCGGACCAATGACTCTGGAGTCCCACGCCAAACTGATTCGTTCCGAGCTTAATATTGCCCGACCACAATATCAAGAATTTCGAGGTTCTGGCCAATCTAGAGTCGTCGTCTATTATGTACCTCTGCTTGTGTTTCAAGACGAGTCAACCCAGCACATTCCACGAAACAAACGGGGGAGAATCAGTATCTAAACAAAAATCCGCAGGACCATCTGGGTCAGCGTTATAGCAGAGTCTCAATGCTCCTGTTGGCAATGGGGACAGCAGCAGAATTCCCATAGCTGCGTCTTCAAGAGTGACCACTAAACACACAGGTGGTAGGGAGCTGGTCTCGATTAAATGGCACAACTCTCGTACCTGCTAGGGGACTGGGTACAGAAGCCGGCTCCATACTGATATTGCACTAGCTACTATCAAAAACACTCCTAGTGTCAGCCTCCACCCTGCTCGTCTTTGGATCAACTCCGCTGCGTGAGGATTGGACCAACCCCAAACGGTCCGCGCCCCTTCCGCGTTTTTCGTGCTTTTGGACGATGAAATATGAATCATGCGGACGCCGGACGGAAATGATTCTCGATGAAGTCTAATATATCAAAAGTCTGGTTTTAGGCGAAGACCAATTTCGGGTCGCTGGAAGACCCTTCCTTGTTTACCCACCAGGGCAGTAACCGAGTCTGAATGACTCCATATACTGAAAGTTCGAGTGGTCTTGACCTCTTGAGTCTGCCATTCATTCTTTTCTCCAGGGCTTGACGCTCTGTTTTTGTTCCGGTTGTCTGTTCTCATTATGTACCTGTAAGTCCGCGATATGAAATTTCCTTTGAGACGAGGAAGTCACTAACAACGTATGATGTCTCAGTGGCTTGGATCAATGGGTAGCCCAGAGATTCTGCTGAGGTAGTCTGTTTGTGATACTGTGTAATTCTGCAATATCTCGCAGTCAATCTTCCTTCCTTTCTTTGAATTCCCTCATTGAACTCTGGTATGCCTCCCTTGATGTGATGACATTCATGATGAACCTATTCCGTGGCATATGCTCATTTCGACACCTTGTCCAGCAGAGGCATTGACTGCCCCTTTTAGCCTTCCTTTCCCTCTTTACCCTTCAGCTCAAGCTTTGTATTCCTCATATTCATCTACTGCAGCGCTTTCAACGGCTGCAGCTACTGAGTGTCGAATCACGTGGCTTGTATATCTCCAGCTCACGGCTACCCTTCTTCGTTACTCTTGATATCGTCCTCGGCATAAGACTCGAGCTGGTCATTCGTTCCCGTGCGCGCTCTATTCACCGACTTGAAGGCGATCGGTCTTTCTATACCACCACTTTATGCTGTGTCATAGCCCCTATGCTGGCAAAGATAGGCTTGACATAGATCATCTACATTCATTACACCATTCGCAGGAAAAGAAAAGAATTAACAACACAAGAAATGGAACCAACTTCATTCCAGGGCTCGGACCATGGCTTCCAATTGACAGGCCCAAACCCCGACAGGAAAGGTTCCGTCAAAAGGGCGAGACAAATGTTAGAGGCTGGCAGACGTCCGGATATCGCGATGGCGCCGTCGCAAAGTATTCATCCTGGTCCCACCCCCAAGGTCAAGGCAGACCAGTCCCATATGACTCAATGGCCTTTACCGACTGACGCTGGTCAGCAAACGAACGTGTCCGGTACTCAAGCAAGGCTGTTCATCCCAAAAGGGCTCCCTCCAGAGCGACCACCACGGCCTGATGCTCCGTCTCCGTCGGTTTATTCTGAAAGAAGCATGTCGGACATAGCACCCAGTCCCCTTCATCTGGCCCGGCCTATCCCATCGTTCTCTCACCCTTTGCCAAATCCACCACCTCCCCGTCCGCCCTTTAAGGGGCACCTTCCACCTTACGGACCGGATCGTGCTGCAAATCCAGCGCCGCGAGTTCCTATGACGACTGATGAATCGTTTAGGCAGTCCACAGCGTCTTCTTTCATGTCCATTCCCTCTATTCCCGACTTTGCTCTTCCCGCCCAACCTGCACCTGCAGAAACAAACCCGGCCCAACGGCAGCACCAGAAACGACTTGCCCCATCAAATGCTGCGAGATTCTCCACAAAGCGTAGGTCGTCGGTCTCTCCGATTCCGGAAGAACTCTCCGACAGCCCAACCATCTTGCAGGGATCATATGCATCGAGCCGAGTCATTCCGTCTAGCTGGGGCTCTGCACCGGCCGGGTCTGAAATTCTTGGAGCCTACCTAGACATCGAAGCGGACGACGATCAGGATTCCCCGCCTAGCATTCACGAAGGAGATTCGAACCTTGTCAGACAAGCCAGCCTCGGCAAAAGGGGCAAACCGTCACTACGAACGATCCAGAAACCTAGCAGCCCATCCCCGGTATCAATGGTAGAAGAGCGTTCGGTCAGCGATGTCGTGCACGCCGGAACTGCTTCGGAGAAGATCGCAGCAGGGTCAAAGAACGAAAGACATTCTGTCACTACAATCTCGACCGATTCGTCTGTACTCGATCCGGAGAAACCACCGATCGTGGTGGACATCAGCGGCCGACATCCTGCACTCCAGCACACGGATGATGATATGGGATCTCCTCAGAAGGAGTTGGGAATCCTGCCCAAGGCTGCACCAACCATGAGCGACAAGAGGCCGGGAGGCCGCAGACCACCTCGCCTGGATCTCGGGGCTGTCCGAGCGGCAGAAGCCCGAGGCAGTCTCACAAGCTTGCCTGACCTGATCCGACGGGCCACGAGGCTCGCTACAAATCTTGAGCACGGAAGGACGGCCAGTAGGAATGACCTGCTCAATGATGGGAGCAGTAGATTCGCGCAAGGTAAGTTACACACTCACTGAATGCATGAGACCGAAACTACCGAACCAAACTGATTCCTCACTCAGGTCACAACGCTCGCCAATCAGGGTCTATCAAGGACATCCTGGCATCTTTCCCACCTCCAGCAGGAACGCCCGAAGTGCGCTCTTCGTGGCCAGATTTCTTCCGGAGAACTCCCATGCAGCATTTACGATCGCGTGAAACGTGCCCGGAAACTGACGAGGAGAAAGGCCAGCAGCGCTCGCGCCGTTGCTGTGGCATGCCGCCGTGGTTGTTCATACTAGTCTGCTTTTTGATCATCTCCGTAATTCTCGTCGCTGTTCTTGTGCCCGTCTTCCTGGTCGCAGTTCCCCACCACAAGTCCACCCCTATGTCACAATGCGAAAAGACTGCGCCCTGTGAAAATGGCGGTGTTAGCGTCTCGAGCGGGAGTATTTGCTCGTGCGTCTGCGCCAACGGCTACACAGGTTCGCGCTGCACTGTGGCCGGCGATGCAAGCTGTGTGACGACCGAGATCGTTCAGAACTCGACATCCAAGAATGCGACCATGGGCAGCGATATTCCACGCTTATTCGAACAGGCAAGCAGTAATTTCAGCATTCCGTTGGACTCGATGAGCATCATGGCGTTGTTCAGCCAAAATAATGTCTCCTGCACTACCGAGAATTCACTCGTCTCTTTCAAAAGCCTCTCCTCGACCTCCAACAAAGCCCGCCGTACTTCTCTGATCGAGCCGGTCGCCGACTGGTTGATGTCCGAAGAATTCGCTCCCCCCGTCAAGGAAACTGCACCGAGTTCCACAATAAGGGATATTCCGACGCAGACCTTAGCTGCTCGCGGCTCTGTGGGCACCAAGAACGGTATCATCTTCGATGAATCGTACACCAGCACCGCTGTAGCAACCACGGCAACCCCATCCTCTGTCACATTCACTGAGCAGACCACCAAGGAAACGACCCCGCCCGAACCCACGTCCACGCCGACCCCTCCCGCCATCCCGGCAAAGGTGCTCGACTTCTCGCGCATTGCCGTACTGTACATATTCGAAAAGACCGCTGCGTTCACCGCGGCGATGCAATCCGAAGGCAATATCGAGATGTTCCTAGCGCACTCGTACTCGACCTCGCAGAAGGGCACGTTTGACGTCGATCTCTCGGCTTCCGGCATCAAGGGAAATTTTACGCTCAACTTTGATGAGTTCACTATTACTATGCCTAATGGGACTGTCGTTGGTGGTAATTGACATGATTCTGTTCATTTGACTCGCCTGGGATGACTTGTTCCGTTATTCTATTCCGTTGTGCGTGTTAATCGATCGAGAAAAAAGCAGCGTCTTGTTTAGTGGATATATAGGTGCTCGTGACGCCGATCCTATCTTTCTTAGTGTATATAATGTTTGATACTCCCTTGCTTATTCTGTTCCTGGCCTTGATTGGTTATCAGAGCCTGTTGTTCATAGCTAAGATATTGTGCTGAGATTCTCAGCTTCAGCTTATCGTACTCTTTTCTGTGCACTCCGACATTACAATCCAGTCAAGACTATCCGAAATATGATTAAAGATCTCAAGCAAGTAGTGTACAGAGAAAGATATACACGCAACGCAACCTTTTGATGCAAGTGAACTCCCGCCTAACTCCATGTGAATCAACCCTCCAGAGCATAATTCTCAAAATCAGCAAGAAAAGCATTAAACAAACAAAGAACTATTGGGCGCGATTCCCTCCAGACCCGACTCCCCATCGATAATAGGCCAGAGTTTCTTAATCCTATCGTCGAGAATCAATCGCTCAGCCTCCCACCGCTTCCGCTCAAGGGCCTTAGCTTCCATTTGCTTCTCGCCTCCAAACCAGGCATGTTTGGCTTTCTCGATGCTCTCGCGTTCCTCTCTTTCTGCCTGCGCGACCAGCTTGGAGACCATTGTCTTCCAGTTCTCCAGGCCGACGCGGAGACACTCGGCGCAGCGGTGGCGGGGGTTACTGTCTTCCAGCCCGCCGAGTTCCAGAATGGTGCATTCGGCCATGTCGACTGCGTCGCGCGTCCAGGCAAGGCCGGTTTCCTTGGAGGAGGACGCGTAGATGATCTCGCCGATGTATGTCATAAGGCCTGCCTCTTCGCAGGCAGAGGCGGGAGTGCGGACCGGGGGTTCGTCTCCCGATGGGAGGGGCGGAGGATATTCGGCGGGAACCAACATGGTTTTAATGGAGTTGTAGAGTGAGACGAACGGGTCTCGGGTTGATTTGGGGATGGATGGGAGGACAAAAGGTTTGGCGTCAGGCGGAGGCGGGGGGAGGGAACGGCGAGCTTTAAACACCGAAGTGAAGATGGATAGGGCAGTGGGCAGATTGCCTTGCCGGGCGTGATGTACCGCCAGCGCAGTCGACACACGTAGTATATTCTCAGACGGTAGCGCTTGGGCGTCGTTCTTCAGGACCCCCGTTTTCGTGTTCACCACTTTGCTGACGTCCACCGGCGACCCGGCCGCAGCGATATCCATGGCCCAAGCATACATGTCGCGGGCGGTCTCCTGCAGACCCTTATAATCCAGCCAATCGGCATAAGCCAACGCGGCATCAAGCTTCTGCCTCGTATCAAACCCTTTCGTCGTCAAAATCTTCATATAGAACACCTCCGGACTCGGCGACGCCGGCTCGCTATCCTCCTCCCGCGGGACCTGCTTCTGGCCCGCCGGCATAGGCTTGGGCCGAGGATTCGAAGGCCCAACCACATACTCCGCAGGAGCAGAGATCCGCTGCTTCCGATCCGTCAGCCACCCCTCCAGATTCTCCGCGGCCTTGGCCGCACCCATCAGCGCCTGGTGATAGCCCCTCCGCCACGGCTCACTCTTAGCCGTGATATCGAACCCTGTCTTCCCTACCCCCTCAACAAGGATCCCACCCTCCGCCTGCTCCTTGATTCCCTTGCCCTCGCCCTCCGGGTTCTCCAGCCGCTCCAGCAGTTCCCGCAGGTACCCCGCGACCATAGGCCAGTTGGTCATGAGCTTACCGATCTGCTCGGGGTTCTGCAGCGCCTGCGCGGACCGCAGACACCAGCGACTCTTCCACGACCATTCCGACGGCGTGGGCCACTGGTGCTCGATTTCCTCCTGGTAGACGCCCAGCTTGATCACCTGGAACAGCACGAGGATGGCGTAGAACGTCAGGCCGATCCGCAGCCCGCGCGACAGGCGGCGCTTGTAGTAATCGCGGCGCTCGGTGGAGATTAACCGGGCGAAGTGCTGACGGAGATGGATCGACAGGGGCGGGAGAGGGCGAGTGCTCGCCAAGGGCGACAGAAACGGTACTTGAGGCCGGCCTAGTGGCGGGGAGAGAAGTAGAAGTCGGGATCGGTGGGTAAAAGGACGGAATTGATGGCGGAGGCCATGGATGCTCGGTGGTAGCAGTGGCCGGCTCGCTGCTGGTATTCGCCCAGCAGGGACCCGAGGTGGTAGCATGCTCTAATATTTGGTGTCGATGAAGGTCTTCAGATTCTAGCTCATTACCTTTCTAGAAAGAAGATGTTGCAGATGCATTGGACGACCAGATTGTTTGTGTTGTTTGCATCCTATGACAGTTACACATGGGTCACGTGCTATGGACCGAATCAGATCGAGGTTGAGAATTGAGATTATTGATATTCGCTGGACAAACAGGTTGATAATTCTATAAGACACTTGGTCATATGCCCGAGTGGTAATCAAGGCATTAATTTCACACAGAAACAGTATATTCTATAAACAGATCCTTCAAAGTATTTGCTCTAAATTCCCAATGGTATCACAGAACAGTCATCCAAAGCGCCTATGCTACTCTAAGAACGGTCAAAGAAGCCCTCGGTCTCGAGCATGAGGATGATCTCGTGGACGATGCTGCGCACGGTCTGCTTCGAAACATCGACGGTGAGATCAGCCTTGGAAGGTGTCTCATAGGGGTCGTCGACACCAGTGAAACCCTTGATCTCGCCGCGGCGGGCCTTGGCGTAGATGCCACGCTTGTCGGTCTTCTCGCAGTACTCGAGGGGAGTAGCAACATGGACCAGGAAGAAGTTGCCACCAGCCTGGGTAACAGCGTCACGGGCGGCGTTGCGGGACTCTTCGTACGGGGCAATAGGGGAGGCGATGACGGCGGCACCGGCGCGGGTGAGCTCACCGGCAACAAAAGCGATACGCTGAATGTTGGTGTGGCGATCCTCGCGGCTGAATCCCAGTTCAGAAGAGAGCTCGTGACGGACGGTGTCACCGAGCAGGAGAGAGACGGAACGGCCTCCCTGCTGGTTGAGGGTGACCTGGAGAGCACGGGCAATAGCGTCCTTGCCGGAGTTCATGTACCCGGTAAGGAAGATGGTGAAGCCTTGAGTGTGGCGAGGAGGGCTAGACTCGCGGAGGATCTTGACAACTTCGGGGTAAGAGAACCATTCGGGGATGGGAGCACCGGTGCGCAGACGGTTGCGCAGCTCGGTACCAGAGATATCCAGGGTCTTGACACCAGCGGGGACCTCGTCCTTGGGCTTGTACTCATCGGTGTCGGGCAGGTAGGTGACCTGCTGGAACTCGACGACCTCAATGCCGAGCTCCTCCCTGTACTTCTCGACAGCGTGCTGAGCATCGTAAGGGCCGTAGAATTCCTGGCCCTTGGAGTTCTTGCCCGGACCAGCGTGGTCACGTCCGACGATGAAGTGAGTGGCACCGTGGTTCTTACGGATGATGGCGTGCCAGATGGCCTCACGGGGACCACCCATACGCATGGCAAGACCCAAAAGACCCAGGACGGCCATTCCGTTGGGGTAGCGGGGGAGGAGAGCCTGGTAGGCGCGGACACGGGTGAAGTGGTCAATGTCACCAGGCTTGGTGAGACCGACAACGGGGTGGATCAGGACATTGGCCTGGCGAGCACGAGCAGCACGGACGGTCAGCTCACGGTGAGCTCTGTGCATAGGGTTTCTTGAGACCAGTCAGCTGCAGTTCCGCCAGATTTGTTTGTCATTGGTTGTGGCATGGAATATACCTCGTCTGGAAAGCAACAACTCGGTTCCAGCCGAGCTTGTCGAAGTGAACACGAAGCTCCGCGGGAGTGTCTATAACAGGGGTTTATTAGCAATCATTTTTCGTATTTGCAGCTCGAGCGAACGATCGGACGTACAGCGGAGAGCGACATAGTCGTAGTGGTTGAGCTTGTTGATGGCCTCAATCTTTCCTCCAACGTAGAATTCCTGAACCTTGTTGTAGAGATACTTGATGGCAGGGTGCTCCTCATCACCGCCAAAGACCAGCTTGGCTTCCTTAGCCCTACGTAATGAAAACGTTAGCCAGGCCCGCTGTACGCACGGATCTCTGATTAAACGGAGCGATTGCAGTGACCAATTGTAACGTTGCGTGTGTGGTTCCAGATAAACAACGCAGGACAATTAAACCACGCTCGCGGTGGAGAAAAGACAAGATTGACAAATGCCAAGAAGGAGCAGAACGGAACTCACTTGTCAGGGCGGTAGATATCGTCAATGGTGAGGATGGCCAGATTGCGATCGTCTCTGAAGTCGCGCAGGGTGACGCGAGAGCCGGGCTTGAGCTTGCCGTCATCGATAACAGCCTGGGACACATCCAGGGTGATGGGCATGGAGAAGAGGTTGCCGTCGGCGAGACGGACATTTTCGCAAACACTTGAGTGGAGAGAATTGCCGTCAGTACATCGGACTGCGGTTTACTGCGTGAGAAACAAAAGTGAGAGCATACCTGTCATAGTCCTTCTGGTTCATGAAACCTGTATGCGAAGTTCGGCGTTAGCAACCATTCCCAGTTAAACCCCCTCATTAGGATCCCCCTCCCGCCGATTCCCCCGCCATAGCCTTGTGGTTCCTCGACAGGAATTGAAGATGATCACTTGTCTTAAATTGAAGATTGAAGGAGTAAACTTACCCTCCAAAGGACTGAAACCACCGTTCATAATCAGTTCGAGATCGCAAAGCTGGCGCTCGGTGAGGACAATGGCAGGCAGCTTCTCGGCCTCAATCTCGAGCTCGTCGTGGCGGGGAGCATCACGGGCGAGCAGGTCCTTAAGGACACCACCATGAGGAGGATTGGCCATTTTGTGTGTGTATGATGAGAAAGATACAGGAAACTTTTTTTTGGAAGTAAGTTATACAAAAGGTGGAATGCAATGGAGAGGGGAAGAGAGAGGGGTAGGAAGGAAAAAGTTGGCGGGCAAGAAGAGATGAGCCAAGGGAAGACAGACTCTATCTATTTAATACTA